TTAATAGTAATACTCCAGAGTATTACGATTAAAATGAAGTCAACGAAGTGCTTATTAGCAATTATAAAAAAAAACACATACAGTACAAACAGTAAACTGATTTAGTAATCAGCAATAACTTAAAATAAATTCTTATGAATTCAATTGGTTTGACTGTTGATATTACAATTCTAATTTGGACAGCAATTCTTATTTCGAATATATCCCGCCTTTAGCATACATATATATTATACTATAGAACAGAATTAATTCTTTTTTTTTTTGCATCTCGCACTATTGTGACCGACCTGACCACATGCACGACAAGCATATGGTTGTCGATGTGCTTTTTCTACTGCAGACTTGTACTGCTTAGTCTCAGATCTACTTTTATGTTTAGTGACTGGTGGATTTGCGATTTCTAAATCATTTTCTTTGTCAATAGACATTTCATTATTATTGTTTGTTGCAGAGCATTTTTTTCGATCAATAAATGCTCTCAGCCATTGTTTCATTTCATCATCATCAGTTTCAACCACAAGCTGTGTTGCTTGTCATGCGAGACCCCATAATTCACCATATTTGGAACATCAAATTGCTGCGCATCGATTACTTGTTGATACTGAATGTGGTATAATGAGTGGCTTAGAGACAATTTGCGTAATTTGATTTTGTTGAACTTGAGCTGCATTTATGTTTGCAAAGATCACATCTAATTGATCAATTTCTCCTTTTTTGTTATCACAATACCAACGTTGTGCTATCATTTTAATGTGAAACCCAGCAATTTGTGATGTTAGCATTACTTGAAAATAGTGACGACTGATGACACTATGAGAAACATTAGACATGCATATGCATAAGTAAAAGACGGGATTCATAATAATAACAAAATGCTTTCGCTAATTATTTCCTGGGCGTTTGTCTATGATCTCCCAAATTTCTTGAATATTGTCTCTATTAGCTTCCATAACCATTGACTTAAGCAAAATTTGCCTTGCGTCGTAGACATCTTCTATAAATTTGTCATTTATATTCTCGTTATCCTCATCCTAACAATATAATGTAATATGTTAACTAGTAATTAGTAAATGAAATATATAAAATAAGGAAATTATTAAATGCAAACAATTAAAATTTTATAGTTAAAATGTAGCTGTGACAAACATGTAAAAAGTGCCTAGAGACAAAAAAAACATATAAAACATAGCAATGTTAATCAACTCTTAATACGATTTATCTTTTAAAATATTAAATTTGAGACACAGAGTTGATTAACAGAGTCGTAGATTCATGCGTTCCACAAAAAAAAAAAAAAGAATCTGCCAAAAGTGTTTTATAATTACATAATCACTTTAGGCAGTTGCTAACCTCTAAGTCAATTATCCCTGGATCAGCCATTATTGCATTGAAATACAAACATTAAGCCATTTCAATACATTCCACAGAAAGAATATGTGGCATCAAGTATTCCAACATCTTTTTGTCAACAGTAGAAAATATTTTACTTGCAACAGAGACAATTCCAATACAAGAAGATAAAGTTTGGTATTCAAAAAAACGTTCTATTCAGCTTCCTTCTCTAGTCTAGAATCCAAAGCCTTAACTAAATCGTATAAGCTGCTATTACTATGCAATGATCGCTTAATTATATTGTTGTAACATTCAACACGTGATGTGGTTTGGACTCCGGCAGTGAAAATTTTAGATATAAAAGCACATGCCCATGCATAATGACTTGGATATAGAACTCTATTTAAATAACTTGCAGAGGATAGAAATTTTTGTAATAACCTTTGCCATCTTGTTTCAAATAATGTATCATTCAGAGTATTGCGACAATGAAAGAATTCCCCAACAAATTGATCGTACATATTTCCTAAACCAAAAAAGTCAATCAATAAGGCTATATGAATACTAATTTCTAATAGCTGAATATATAAACTATGTATAATAATTTAAATTAATACCTAGAACTGCTTTAAGATTCTTCAGAAAGGTTTGATTGATATGGTAAATACAATGTAATGATCTGGTATTTTCATAGACCCGTTTAATTGCGCTATCCATTGCTGGGTCAGCATCCGTTATAAAAACCAATGGCTCAGCACCTGTTGCCCTTTTAGTGCACTGGAGAATCCATTGATAAGACTCAACTGTCTCATCTGATACTAATAATTGCGCTACTAAATGTGACCTAGTATTATTATTGACAATTAGAAATAAACTGAGAGGTATCTGATATCTATTTGTTTTAGCCGTATTGTCATTGAGAATAATGTCATAATATTCAAGCCACAAAGAAACTTGTTTGGGTATCATCCAGAAAAGTCGGATAAGACGATTGTTATTATCTAACTCAAACTCTACAATCCACTCTGATTCCTCAGATCTCTTTTCAGTTAGAAATAAGAGAAGTTGGGATGCATCTGATTCAAGATCTCGAGACTTAACTTTAAAATGTTGAATAGCATTTGAGATATCTGAATCTAAAAAGACTGTATCTGGATATCTGGCCCTTAACAACTGGCATTGTATAGTTATAGAAAGATTTCCATTTTTGGTATAAAATTCTATATCATTTAATGCATCCTTTCCAATTGATCGAAATTTGGTGCTATATTTGGAAGTCTCAGGATGGAGTTCGTGGTTATAAGTATTAGCGAATGTTGTAATTGTTATACAAGTTGCATTCTTCGGAAAATTCAAGTTCACGTGCTATTCACATCCTTGACGTTTTGATTTTTGATTGCAGTGGGTATTAATATCAATATTCTTTTTTGGACTATACTTCCCTCCAAATTCACACCCTAAAGACCTATATCTTATGATATTATTATCACGTTCAACCCTTTTTTTTATAATAGCAAACCCAAATTGCTGGCCATAGGCTTCAAAAAAGGAATCAACATCATCCCAATTTTGGAATGTGTAACCGACGCTTAATGTGGAAAAATCATACATTCTGTCTAAAAAAGCTAAGTTGAATTTATTTTAGTATAATCAATTTATTGTACAAAATACTAACACAAAATTTTAAATAAAGATACAGTATATACTTTCAACTTCACTGTTATCTTCCGTATAAACTTCACTATTATCTTCCATATAAATTTCGTTATCAGCCATAATTTTAGTATATTTGTTTAGTTGCGAATATGAGACTTAAGTATATATCTGAAAGGTTGAACAAGTACTATGTCAAAACTACTATCTTATTCAAGTATAGGGTACGCTAATGTGAAGGCAGAAGAGATAAATTAATTGGATCGAATGATTTATTATATACAGAACAAATGTCATCATAGTGATCAATTTTATTTACAATAATATGCATATTTAAAACTCCGTGAGTACATAGATGAGTCAGCCAGGATGGCCCCCAAAGTGCTATTACATGGGCCTATATAATATATCGATATTGATATCAATAACTCGATTGTAATTTTATATTATACAGGCTTGTGTAACAGCACTTTAGGGGCCAACTCTACGTAGATATGATTTAAATTTATATAACCCGTAACAAAAAAATGTATCACGGGAGGCAACAAAAACATTTATCCAATTTTTTTTATATAATTTTTTTTTTTTATATAAATTTTATTTTTTATATAAAATATAAAAATTTTTTTTTATACTTATAAATGTTTTATTATATAAATATAATATTTTTTATGTTTTCTATAAGCTTATGTTTTTTATATATACGTATAAGTTTTTTATGTAATGATAAATTTATGTTCGTACGTAATAAAAAAATTTTAATTTTTAAAAAAAAAAATTGTATCAATCTGATTGGATGGACTTGTTTGGAGAACAGCAATTCAGGATCTAATCTTGGGATCCGTTAACTCATAACAGATCCAGGATCGTCCTTTTAGATCCTAGGATCGAACCGGACCGGATTCGCAATTTAACATCCCTAACAGAATCCTGAATAATTCTAAAAAAAAAAAAACAATATTATTAAACTGAATATTTTTTAGCATTGGGAAATTTTTTTTATAGAAAGTAATCAATATATAGCATTTAATTGTTTTATATCGATTTATAAATAACGATATATATCGATAAACTGGTTGCAAATCGATATATATTTAAAATCGATAAAC